TCCTGCCTCAGTCTCCCACAGTACTGGTATTACAGACATGTACCATCACACCTGGTTTATCATTTCTACATTCCTTTTTTTTTTCTTTAGAGCTCTATAATTTTTGTTAGAGGTCTTTCACCTCTTGAGTTAAGACTGACTGCTAGGTATTTGTTTTTGTTTTTCTTAAAGTTGTTATGCATGGATTTTTTTCTGATGTCTTTTTTGGGTTCATCATTGATGTACATGTACACTACTGGTTTTTGTGTGTTGATTTTGTACCCCTGATGAACTTATCAGACTTCTGGCAGTTTTTTGGGGGGTGCAGAGGTGTCCTTCTATATAAAGAATCATCTGCAAATACGAGCAATCTGACTTCCTCTTTCCCTACATCCCTTTCTTCCTTTCTCTCACTAAGTTCAAGACACGCCTACCCTTCCTGCCTCTTCCTCAGCCTTAACTGCAACTCCCCTCCCCATCTGCGGGCAGAGAATTCCAATGGGTCCCTTGCGCATCGTCAACGCCCCCCTAAGCACCAGCCCTGGTCAGAGGTTATATATGTCCATTCCCCACATTCCAGTCAAAGGAGACAGCCCAGCCGCCTGGGTCGTGTGCTCCTTTCCACGTCCTCAACTCCATAAGCTTGTTCATTTTGTACTTTTGCTTCTCTATTGCACCAAAATAATCGACCAAACTCCATCATTTAGGGGCACTGCTCTATTTAAGCTAGAACCACACTAACTGTAAGCTGCTCACACTATGAGAGACACGGGATAGAGAACAACAGTATGTTCCTCTCTGTAAGGGCGGGTGCTGTCTGGGAGGGGAGAATTAGCTGGACTTTTTTAAACTGTCATTTTGTCTACAAGACACGTACATGTGAAAGTTTAAAAGTTAAAAATCACATAAAATGAAAGGTCACTACCATAAACATTAAAATAACAAAGCTTTCAGGAAGAGGCCAGAATCTTAAAAGCATTAATTTATTTAAGATCTTTCTAGGTCTGTTCTCTAAATTTGAGGTTTTTCCTTCTCCTCCATTTTCTGTATTACTATCTTACAAGAAAAAGACTCGAGTCCCACTCCCATAGAGCCTGTAGAAAGCACAGTGTAAGTCTCCTAAGTGTCCACAGAGTTAGCACATTTCTTTCCTTGGTTTTGAGACAGGGTCTTGCTATGTAGTTCAGGCAGGCCTTGAACTCACTACGTCAGCCAGGCTGCTTTCAAACTCACAATGACCCTCGATCCTTGGGCCTCAGCCTCCTGAGTCCTGGGATCACAGGTGTGAGCCACCATGCCCAGCTTGCGTATTTCTTTCACTGCCCCCCAAAACTGAAAGTATTACAGCCAACAGATAACCCTGGTGCTCTGGTTCTCACAGGTTCTTCCTGCGAAGCTCTGGACCATGTCTAGCTTGCTTTATCTTGTAGGGAGACCCGGGCCCCTATTGCAAAGGGAGGAAAACGCTCGGTTTGTACTCTGCAGTGCAGTTTTACGAGACCTACTTGTACAATGCCGTGAACTCCTAACTGCCCTGAGCTGACCAGCTTTATTACATTCCACCCAAAACGATGCTCAGGCTGTGTCCCTCACGGTTCTGTTTGAGGGGGATGCCTTTAGCTAAACATTCAGTGCTGGCCACATGAAATCACTGAGACTCAGAACTCATTTCCAAGACTTTTTCCAGACATTTCCAGTATTTGTATAACAATCCCGGAACTCTGTAGTGGCATTTTCAGCGGGAAAGTTTTTGGCTTTTTCAAAAACAGTAACGCAGACTTTTAGTAATACAGTATCATAACATGGGTAGGTAGCACCATAACAATTTATCTAAAAGTTTAAAATTACTTAGCAATCAAAATGCAAAAATCTCAAAATACTAGGAAGCTGACTCTAGGGTACTCTACTGTATCTAGATTAATATTAGTTGTTAAAAAGCAACATCAAATTCTCTCAATGAGTAACTGTGAGAACATACCTGAGGTCTTCAAAAGGTATTTTAATTATACATTTAACAAAAATTCATATTTATAAAGTTTTTATAAAAGTTGTTCAAGTTTTTACATCAAAAAAGAATGCTTAGCTTTAAAGGAACTTTTGTACTATATACAAAGTTGGGTTAAATCTTTACCCTATCCAAAAAATACTCAAAAACAACAACAACAAAAATCTGGTTACACAGAGTAACTTATTTCTGGAGTTAGACTGAAATGCCCAATACTTCCTAAAAGTAACTGTTGCCAAGTACGTTCTCAAGTCTCATAAAATATTGATCACATTCAACCATCACCAGAGAGACTTCTTAAAATCACCTATCAACAGTAAATAAGAAATGTCCCAGACGCATCTTATTTAATTTTATTCATATGTTAATTCCACATATAATTACCACTAGTTTATCTTGCCAGCAATATAATCATGATCAGAATTTCAAAAAGTGCTACATAGGTGTTAGAAGAAAATGATTCCATGAGAAATAACTTTCTATAATTAAGTGTGCCTGCTCCTAGCAGGGGAAAAAATAATCACTAAATTTCCGAGTAAATTATACCATGTTTCAGAATCTGAAAGCTCAGCAAGAAGGGGAGACAAACAGCACTTCCAGGTGACTGTGATAACCAGGTGTGACAAATCTAAGTTGAAGACTTGCAAGATTAGTACCAAATGCAATTTTCAAGCTATAAACCTATTATCAATCTCTCAGAAACGGCTTCAATTTTATGCTCTATCTCATTTTTAGGCTGCCCTCCATAGGGTAAGGCCTATAGCTTTGGCCATCACAATCTTCTGATTTTTTAACCAGTAACAAAGGCTAGAAATTTCAAAACACTGTTTTTGTTTTTGTTTTTAAAGGCAAGGTCATGCTATGTGGCTCAGGCTGGCCACAAACTCATGATGACCCTCCTGCCTCAGATGCCTCAGTGCTGGGAGTACAGGTGTGTGCCACCACACCCAGCAAACAATAAAAAAAAATGTCATTTCTGAGTGGGCCTCCCACACCCGGCCCACCATGTCGTTCTGCAGTGTCAAGCTTTATCGCCACAGGTCTGCTCTCTTCTTGGTCACCACCCTAATCCAGGCTGACACATCATCACCTGGCTTGCCATCGTTTCCTGAAGGGGTTTCCTGCCTCTAATCCTCCTGGTCCCAACTCTTCATCCTGCAGCTAGAATGATCTTCCACAACTTGTTCACTCTAAGAAATCCGCCAGCCCGTGACTCAGTCACTCGCCTCACTGGAAGAGAGGTGGACTCGGAAGCAGTTAGGTTTCTGCTGCGTCCCCTCCTTCAGCCGCAGCTCACTAGATCGAGGGTTGACAACTTACTTAAGAAGCCAGTCTCTTTAGGAGATCTGGAAGACCAGTGAAACCCAAAGCCTGTGGTTGGTTTGTCATCAGAGAAGCAGCAAACCCAGCACACAAGAACAAGGAGGCAGACACCGCAGAGAAAAGCCAAGACACACTGACACGAGGTACAGGAGCGCACGGGAGCACCTGGAGTCCCTGACAGCCACAGCTAATCCCCTGGGTCTGGCCCAGCCGCACCTCGCACCTCCTGGCACTGCGCTCCCAGCTTCCCCATCACCCTCGTGCTTTTGCTTGCTTGCTCACCCTTCTAAGATTACATCTGGCTCTGAATCTCCCTTGCTTAAAATTCTATCATGGTTCCCTCTGCCCAAGCCTGTATCAGAAATTCCAGGGCTTTGGATATTGTCCCTGGCCTTCCCTTCCAGCAGACCCTCCCGCCTCGTCGGATTCTGTGGATTCCAGCCGCAGCGAAGGGCTCCCAGCTCCCAGCGTGCCCCAGTCTGTCTCTCCGCCTAGCCGGCACCGCTGGGTCTGGCTCTGCTGGTTCCACCCGCACTCCCCTCACCTGCACCAGCAACTTCGTCATCGGGAGGCTTGGGGGGGGCGGCAGCGCCCCCACTTCCAGGCTCACCCGACTCTCCCAGGACTCCCATTCTCTGGTCATCCTACACTAGAAGCACTGCCAGGACAAAGAGCACAGGCTCTCTTCAAAGCTCAGATCCCAGAGACAACATTTCAGTAAACTAGTGTGCATTTTACTTGGCTGTACTGGCAAATTTCCAGTTCTATTTGCGCAGATACTCCCTATTTCAAATTCATTTCTTCTCTGAACTACTTCATAGATTTCTTAATGATTTTTTTTTTGATCTTTTTCTCACGACCACACACTTGCAAGGCAGGTGCTTACGCCGCTGGGCTAAATCCCAGCCCCTTCTTAACGATTCTTTCCTCTGCTCAAAACCTGACTCTAACAAAACCCACCCAACTATCTTTTAAAACCTCTTGAACACACCCAGCTTTCCTTTCTTCACGCTTCTTTCTGTCCTCCTCACAGGACATGTCCTTCTCTCCCATGTCTGAATGTTCCAATTACTGTCACCCAAGGTTAGAACGTGATGCTTTTCAGTGGATTTCACTCACACTCCTCACGACACTCAGGTGCCTTTCGGACTGCACTAAACATCACCTACTGATCTACCTACATTCTTTCGTCAGCCAAGAAGGACCAAGTTTCTCAGCTGTACAAAGTCATTCAACATAAATGGAGCAATAAAGTTATTAAGGTTCACAATATTTTTCATAGTCACGGACATTTATACATAATAAAACTCTATTTGTACAGACTTCCCATAGTTAGAATGCTTTCATTTCCAACAGTCAGCGCTAAGTTGCTAACACCCTTGAAAAACAATTCACTTGAAACCTCTATTTGCTGTCTTAATTTTAAGGGTACACAGACAACCTTGTTATCTCCAACAATACCATCAATAAGTTTTGTCAGCTTGATGCTTCAGATAGTTCTTGCTCTAATATGTTAAGCATTCAGTTAAATTTTGGAAAACTACAGTCAAATAACATCTGATGATTACATAGCAGGAAGCACTGAAGAAAGGAAGGATTTTATTCTTTTCTGCTAATCAATTACCATAAAGGTTTTCAAATATTCAAATTGTCTTAGAATAGTCCTTTGTTAGTATTTAGGGTAAAAACTTACTTTTCAATCCTATATGGCAGTTTCCGAACTGAGTCCCAAACCACCGATAGATCATGAAGTCAACTTAGTAGATTCAAATTTCTTAAAAAATCAAACAGAAAAGGGACTATCAGAAAGTGCGGATCATGGGATAAGGATATCTGTCAAATTTATGTTTATACACAAACAATGCATACTGCAATAAAAGTTGACTCTCTCCCCCACAGAGCACAGTAAAAAAACAAAACAATGTATTTATAAGACAAAGGAACCTAAAATATATGTAATATATACACAAATACTCATTTTCTGTAAACCTGCCTAATTTTCAACTAACAAATGTTATAGCAGGTTAAATATTTAAATATACACAGGGATTCTCTTATTACATAGACATTTTTGGTTACTTCTAATTTTAAAAAAGGGGGGAAACCCTGCATAATTCTAGACTTTCATTTGCCTTCAATTTCTTGTGAACTCTATGCATCAAAAAACATTTGGCAATCTATGAGCATATTTCCTGGCTGATCCACAGATTATATATTGAAATGTCATTACTAAATAAGGAAGTGGCTAACTAATGTAATTATTACACTTTAGATGAAATTGATTAGGCAAAGCTAATCATAATCCATCCATGGCATAATTACAACTTATTAAACATGTTTATCCATTAATGACTGAAAGTTAGTTCCCTTCTTATAGCTCAAATGTCATCTAGGTCACCTAATTATCAATGCATACATGGCCAGGACCAGTGCCCAAAAGTCTTTATTGCCAAATGAGTCCTTATAGATGACATCATCTTGGTTATCAAGAACTGTCAAAACTTTTGGGATTTCCATACAAAACGACACTGTAAAAATATGCTAACACTATCAACAACTGATAAAACATAAAAAGAAATAAAATGTTAGTTACCTTGTCCCTGCACAGGATGACTGTAAGGTAGCACGGGGATATGAAGTTATAGGAGGATGACATCTTAAATGTGGTGACACATAAGGACAACAATCCTTCAGTTGCCAGCTATGATAAAACCATCAACTTTGAAGCATATGTACCTAATATTCTCAGACAGTGAAAAAGGACAAAGACCGCAAAAGTAGGAAAAGATGCCACAGCCTCGGAGAAATGAAGACACCCCCTCTTGCTCACATTTTTAAAAATTGTCTTACTTTATCTTACACCTGCTTAAGCAAAGTGGGTAAAATATTTCCTGAGTTAGAGCTTAGCTACAAGGACCTTTATATAAAGAAATCATGGAAATTTTAAGAAGACACACAAATTGTTATCTAGGTACAGTACTGTTAGAAGCTTGTCTGTTTTTTCACCTTAATAACTTATCATCTTCCTTAAATCATATACTGGGCTCTGCCCAGTGGGAGGCAGTCTGCACACAGGTTCCTGGCAACTCACTGTAAGGCCACAGTTGTCCGAGACAAAAATAAGGTCACCTAAGCATCCTAACACACGGTCTTTACCTTTGACACGAGGAACAGATACACCACCAAAAACCCTGAGGTTTGCCACCAGTCCATGGAAAGCCCCAGACAGCGGGCGCGGCAAGGGCTCCTCGGAAAACCGGACAACGCGAACCCCAGAGCTGTCCTCACAGCCCAGCGCAGGAAGAAGGCCCGGCCGCCGGAGCCCCGGCGCGGTGCGCTTGCGCCATCTAGTGGGCAAGAGAAGAGGTTCTCACTTTTACTAATTCCTTTGTGAGAGCAGTAATGACAGAGGGGTTCCTGGGAACAGTAAATTACAATCCACAAAAGACAGCAGCGAACCGAGAGTGCTGGGACAGACTGGTGATAAATTCGTATTTTACAGGTAACTAAAGATGAGAATTAAGGCAAATGCTTCTCATTACGGTGTGTTTTTTCTCTCTCCTCCTTTTTGTTTTTTGATTTCCTTTTCTGGGACAGGATCTTGCTACGCACGCAGTTCAGGCTGGCTCTGCGTTCACTATGTGGCCCAGCCTGGCCTCACACTCACAGGGCCACCCTCGTGCCTCCGCCTCCCAAGGGCAGAGATTACAGGCGCTGCCACCACGCCGGATTCAGTAACAGTACTTTTCTTAAAACCATGTAGCCATCAGACACTGCGGAAGTTTATAAAAGACATGACAGTAAACAAAAATGATTTTCTGACAAATGAGGTCACGAAGCAGGGCTTCAAGCAAAGTAATGAACAACAGGACAGCCACGGATGGGGAAAGGACAAATGAGAAAGGAGGCACCTTCTGCCTGGGAGCCAGCAAGGGGCGTGCCAAAACAGCCCCAGCTCACGGAGGAGCCCTGCCGCCGTGTGCAGCTAGGGCAGACCACGGCATTCAGAGGTGCTGAGCAAATCCGGGAGACTGAACCCTTGGGTAACATCTCAACGGAAACTCCTCCAAGTTCTCAAGTTAACCTCATTGCCCCCGAAAGCCAGAAACTGAAGGTTGAGTGCATCAGCAGCCACCAGTTACTTGAGTGGTGTGATACTAAGAAATTCAATTAAAGTTTGGGGCACACTTTTCTCATCCATAAAACTGACCTTGGAATAAATTAGTGGTGAGCTGACTCAACTCAAAAATCAATAATTTTAGACACACACTCTCCAAAAAACTAGATATTAATAAAAAGAAAACGCAGCCCCTGATAATTAGCCAATAAAAAACAAAGCACGTTGCAGGCCCTGAAGAGGAAATAAAGATGCTCTGGATGCCAAGGGACAGGGACACTAGGGACCAGAAACAAGGCACTCAGGTACTCAAGTTTATTAAGGCAAAGCAAAAATAGGGATCAAAAACACACAACTGCAACGCCACAGAAATATCCGAAGCTAAGAATTCAGCCTGCAAAAAGGAGGGCTTCTGCTTAGGAATCTTTCCTTCTGAGATTCATTACATGGGAGCGGAGGAAAGGAACAGGACGAGGAGGAACAGAGGCAAAAGCACCAGTGCCAAAAAGTGCTGAGCCAGCAGGGCTCAGGAAAGCCCCAGCGCCAGAAGCGAGGCTGGAGGCACGAGGGGTTTCCGCACACGCTGCAGAGCATGAAGAAGGGCCCGAGGACTTCAGCCAGGTAATGCACACCGGCTGGTCACAGAGAACGGGCAGCCTGGAGAAGCCCGGTAAGAATGGAGTTCTGCTAAGCAGTGGACTGGACACATCTCCGTGTGTGCACGGGAAAGGCTAGTCACACTACTAACCCACCCTGGTAACAGCCTCGGTGAGTCGCATCCTTCTCATTTACACAGAAGTAAAACTGAAGGTGCGACCAAAGCAGAGAGAGCACCTCGAGGAAGACCTGCAGGTGAGCTGCTTTCCCGGAAGGGAAGAACGGGAACAAGACAAGAAGAAAGTGCAAGGCAAGAGTTACCAGAGTTAAGAAGAAAAACCCTGAGAAACAACACTGCCAGAGTGCAACACTGCACATGGCCAAAACCCGCACTGCGCTGCCTGGAGACCGAAGGGGACTACGTGTGGAAGGAGCCATATTTGTTCTGTATCTCTTTTGTCAAAGTGTGAACATTATACTGTACATGCAACCGGAAAACAAAACGTTTAACTGAGCTTAGGAAAGGCAAGCTGAAAGAATTTGTATTTAGTGGCTTCTGTTTTCACACTGGAAAAGGCAAAAGGTCCTAACGAGCAAAATACAGACACGGGAGAAGTACCTGGGAACAAAAGGAAAATGAAAACACTGTAAAATTAACTAAAGCAAGGCAACCAAAAGTAAGTCAGGCTGGCAGAGCAACAGTGGAAAAGCAGGAAGCTGGAAACACTGATCTCAACGCGGTAATTCTGAGATTCTAGTAACCGGATTAGACGGTGGCAGCCACCAGCTGCGGGAATACTGACCGGAGCTTTTTAAGGCAGCTTCCTTGCTGAAACTCCCCTGCAAAAGCAGCGTGCTCACACCATTTCCCTAGCTCTGGGCAACTCAGCCTTTTGCTTTTGATCCCGTTTGACACACAATCCTGCCCCTGCGATCGCTTTATCAGGGTTATTGAATGGCAGACTGATGTGCTGGAGAAAATTTCAGGCAGTACAATATTCGTCTGTGGCATGAATACTTCTGACTGCTTTCAACCAGATTTACAGCGAGAATCAGGAGGAAAAGAAAAACTCATTTGGAAAATCTAGAGTTTTGCCAGAAAAGATAACTGAAGCCAAGGAGAGCACGGCTGCTAGAAAGCCTCGCACTGAGAAGAGGTCAGGCTCTCTGTCTGCATCAGGTAACTCTACGACCCATGCTATCTCGGTGTCCTCATGCAGCGTCCTTCCTAATTCAAGCAGACACCTTCCTGGTTCTTGGTATGAGAGACTCCAGTGTCCTGAAGTCTGGATACTTGGAATATCATTTCAGGAGAGTGGATTTTAGTTGTATCTAGCTGTAGTCTATGACTGCAGGATTCTTCCTTGACACTGCTTTGACAGGAGAATTGCCCAACAGAGCAGAAGCACAGTCTCCTTTCTAGGTCTTAGTAGATCTGAGGTAGGAAAGAGGGAGGAGCCAACAGATGCCACTTTCCGTACTGCCTCTGCTGACTCTGGAGCTGGAGGGCGGTTTTGGTGCAGCCAGAAAATGGTGAAATGCAGGCGTGTCGTCCCCCCCCCCCACCCCGCCCTAACTTGTTCTCCGCTAATCTGGGTGATTTTCTGTGCAGCGTGCCTTAAGCAGAGCAGCTGTTCTCTAAGACTTCTGTCTGCTGGGCTATTCTCCTGCTCTTAGGTATGGAGAATAGATTTTTTTGGGCCTCACCCTTTCTTTGGTCTTTACACAGCATTTCTGGGCTGCTAAGTTTCCCACATCCATTCAGGAATATATGAGACAGTAAGAAAATCCAAGATTTTTAGGGGCTGGAGATTTAGCTTAGTGGTATAGCACCTGCCTGACAAGTGCGAGGTCCGGAGTTCGATTCCTCGAAAAAAAACTTTGACTTTTAGTCAAATTATTGGGCCTCAAGATCTTGCGCTGATTCATCTTCTTCCCACTTCGGTCCTTTTATATGTTTGTTTTATAGATAATAGCCAGAGTTTTTAGCTTTACTTAGCAAGAATAAGAAAAAAAATGTGTATTTTTGGAAACACAAGTCTGTACTACATCATTTTTTA